TTGGAATATGTATGGACATCATCGGTATAATCAGATGCATCAATGGGCCTCAAAAAAATATTGCCTAAAGGACAATTCACAAGCAAATTCATCTGATTTCTTCTCGTCCTATCACTCCAAGCATCAGTCATAATGGAAACTCCAAACTGAGCCCATGCATCCTTTTTAACTTCTATAACATCCTTCATGACACTCACTGCTTTTTTCAAAAGTGGCTCTGAAAGCTCGTATGGGGTTGGGGGTTTCATCCCAGGTCCAAATTGGCCAATTGCCTTTACCAAGGCATAGAAGCTGCTTAGTCGAGCGGTATTGAATGAAATGGTTGCCTTATTAAACCATGTAGCAATATAAAAAGCAGCTCTATCTCTCTCTTCCTTCTTCATTCTATTTTCAATGGTGGTTTGCTTCTTTGTTTTCTCTCTTGCAACCTAAGGGTCAGGCCGGGGCAAAAAACTATCCATAAGGCCTCTAACTCGAGGCTTCTTACTCCTAGAATCAAAACCAAAACAAGAAACAATTACAACTCCCTTTCCCTTTTCCCTAATAATGGATTGTTCTATCTCTTGACATTCCTCCCCATCCTCATCACTATCATCATCATCATAACTGACCCGAACCCCAGACCTAATCTCTGCTATGGAGGCAAATTTCTCATCTTTTTTCATTTTTACCATACTAAAAAAATTGGTTATTTCCTCTTTGACAACATTAGGAGTCTTTTTACATGCGGCAACATCCCCCTTGATACTAGTAAGATGTTTCTTTAATCGATTTGTGCTCCCTTTTGTATGCTTCTCGTAAAACTTGCATCTTATAAAATTTTTCTCATTAGGATCTGGGTTGTAGCCATATTTTCAACCGGGATCACCACTCCTATTAGATCCCGACGAAGACATTTCAAAATAATACAACTTATACAAGCAATAAAAAAATCACTTACTTTAATTGCTCAATCTCCAAACTTCCTTCTCAAAGATGCTTCTAAAGACTCAAAATCTTCTAAAAAACCTTCAAATAGATTTATTAAACATCACAAATTAAATCTAATATCAATGGATGATGTTTTGATCTATTTCTCATAACTTTGAGAAACCCTTAAATCCTAAAGAAATCACCAAAAATTGGTCTTTTGGGGTTTTTCTTTCTCTCTAAAATGGTCTCTAATATGTTTTAGGTTACAAATAAACCTGAAAACAAGAAATTTGGCCCTTTTGTGTCAAAGAAAAGGACAAAAAATGCCCCTATCGATACTGTTTTCTGCCTCAGGGCGGGGAGCAGTCCTTGGGCGGTCGCCCAGGTCTGGGTGCTGTGCTGCCGCCTAGGCAGATTCCTGGGCACCTAGGCGGTTGCGCAGTGTTTTCCGCATGTTTTTGCCGCCTAGGCCTGAGCGATGTGCCCAAACTCCCAGAACTGCCTCAGCAGCCGCCCAGGCGCCCGCTTTTTGATATACTGTACCTGCTCGAGTTATTGTAGTACTCAGGTGAGTTGTTAGAATCTTAGCGAATTTCTAACATACTTGCTGAATTTGTCAGGAATCATCATGTATAACCGTTGTTTCAGACATATGAGGGTTGATCCCGGATTTTCCAAATTTCTCGTCAACCAACCCATGTTTTATTTGAAATTTAGGGTCTAGGGTTGTTTCTGCATTCTATCTAGTTGAAAGATTAGTTGAGGAACTAACAATTTGTCTGCCTTGTCCGATTGTGATTTTCGAAGTAGGTTTTGTCCTAAGTTCGAAAACTTGGAATCTTTTTGCAACCCTAGCTTGATCTTGGTTGGAATTTGTTACGTAAACCTATATTAGCATGTCATCTAACCACATGCTTATTATGCACTAAAGCACTCGAAAATCTCAGATTTGCGAGATTTTTAAATCAAACATTGTTTGCCAAAAATTATGAGAGCTTGAGTCAAGTGAATCTGAACAAATTTGTCTTTGGGGTTTCAATTTTTGGTATTTGAGGATGCTTTGACAAAGATTTGGTGCATTAATTCGGGCTAGGAACAAACATTGGAGGATCTGCTTCAAAGGTTTGGGTGACTTTTGTTTTTCTAAATCATAATCATCATCATCTGAGCCTTATCCTAACTATTTGGGGCTGGCTAGACGAATCCTTTTTGCCCATTCTGCTCTATTAAGAGCCATACCCTCAGTAAGACCAAATATTATATATCTTTTCTCACTACTCTATCTTTGTCCTTTTGGACCTTCCCTTACCCGTTTAGAGCTTTCCACTTGGACGAAATCGCACCTCCTAACCGGTGTTGTATTTGCTCTATGTTGCACATGGCCAGCCCATCTAAGTCTACTTTCTTATTGCCTATTGCAGCTACAACTAAGTTCTCTCAAATGTACTCATTTTGCATTCTAACCTTTCTTATCTTGCCACTCATCGATCTCAACATCCTCATCTTAGCTATACTCATCCTATGCGTTTGTTGTTTCTTGACTGCCACATTCCCTCTGTTAAAGCAGAGTTGATACCTGGTTGGCTATCACATAGAATTTTCCTTTAGTTTTATTAGTATGCGGCGATCAGAAGAAACTCCGGATGCAAATCTCTACTTCACTCACCAACTCTAATTCTATGCACGACATCTTCCTCAATCTCTCTTTTCTCTTGGATTATCAACCCAAGATGTCAAAAACAATATATTTTAGGGGTTTCTTGGCTATAACCTTGAATATTTCCTTGTTTTTACTCTTATTATTACTAAATTCACGTTCCATTTATTCTTATCACAAATTAATTTGAATGATAGTTTGGGATCTCTTGGTCTAATAGTATATAGTTAGTTCCGTATTTTTGTTGCTTTATCTCCAACAAATGACTAAGAGTTAATGTTTTTTGATTTTCATGTATATAGGGAGACATTTAACTTTTTTAGTGATGATGTGTTTTGCTATTATTTTGTTGTGTTGTTTTTTTATTTGATGATGCTGATTATAGATCGTATGTGGTTTTTTATGAATCTAGCACGCTTCGAATTTTTTGAAACTAGTATTTCCTGTCAAAAATGTAGTAAGTAAACTCTTCTTTATATTTTTTGATGCATTAAAATATGTTTCTGTAGTTTTATGAACTTAATGTTGGTAATTTTTTCTTTTTGTATTGATATTTCTAAAGTTCTTTTAAACTTAATTTTGCTAATGATTTTAGGATAGCAGATATTTCAGAGGATCCTTTCCCTGAAATCCATGGTGATTATGTCCCTCTAAGTCGTCCTATTGGTTGTTCTGTGTAGAGTGATGCTTTTATTTTTGGAGTGACTGTGATATTTGGGCCTGTGACTATGATATTGTCACTCTATAGTGTATATCGCTCTTGTATAGTCTTTAATATTTGGGAACTTGGAAATTAATGGGACTAATTTGGATTTGCACCAGAAAATTAGAAAATATAATACTGTTCCTTTTAACATTAGATTGTAAGATACTTTGAGAGAGTATATGTGAATAACATCAAATTTTTATCATTTTTAAATTGTCGTATTGTGATATTACTAGTTTTTTTTTTCTGATACAGTTTTTTGGTGTGTTCGTAAGTTTGAACATGCTCCTAGAAACTAGTCTGATAGCCAAGATAATGATGCCCCCTTGCAGCACAATAGCTACTTATTCAAGTTTGCATTCTTTCCTAACTTGATTTAAATGGCGTAGTTCTTTGCTGGGAACTGCAAAAGGAAGTCTACTTGGAGCCACCTCCTTGTTACTACTATGGACATTATACTTTGTTGATGCTTTTGTAAGTTTTTATATGAACTTGAACTAAAAATCATGTGTAAATTTCATGTTATTGGTTCGTTTATTGCTTATTCGCAAAGGCCCAATGAAGTGGCTTTTGCTCTTCGACTGGCTTAGTGCATAGGCTGCTCCTCGTTAATTTGGGGCAGAACCAAGAAGATGGTCCAACCTTTTTATACCCATGCTTTATGAATTCTACATTGAGCTACTGACCATATTGGTTGCCAAAGAAAATAATGCTTCTGAAACACACGTCTTCATCCTTTATCATGTCACCACTAGTCACCCACATGCATGGGCTAGAAAAGAGAGAAAATATGAAGTAAAAAGAAAACCTTCAAGGAAATATTTTTTGCAAGAGATAAAAGTTGATTAGAAATAGGATTTAAATGATGGTTGTGAAACTTTAGAAAATAATGAAATTCTGTGTGAAATATCGCTCCCTAAAAAATTGTCAATTGTTTTTTGAGCAAGTAATTTGTCAGTATTTTGAATAGACCATGTAGAACACTTGCAGTAGGACGAGTTTGATAGATAACGGCAACTCAAATGATTTGATACTTAAGAAAGTACCATATATATCCTCCAATAAACATATGGGAATGAATTCTACATATCCTTCACAGGCCAATAACTTACTAAGGATTACCCGTTTAATATGAGATTTTGTAAGATGCCTCCGATTCCCCAGTTAAACAAATTATTATTATTGTCATATATATATATTTTTTAGTTCGTGAAACCTAGAATTAACCATCAATCAAATAGTAGTCTATTCACACCATATAGTTATTGGGGGCGGGATTGTGAGCGGGAATTGTTGTGTGATGAAAGCTCCCTATTTGAAAATTACCAATGTAGTAAATCTTAAAAAATATCTGAAAAACAAGATAAATCTTTACATGAGTTCTCTTTCTCATTTGATCTAGAATGAAAATATTCCTTCTCTAACTTTGGTAATTTGCTGTATGGCGATGTTTTAGATCATTCTCCCTCCCTGGATTGTATTCCTAGCTTATCTGCTTCTAGTGATTCAATCTTACAAAAATTTCATTCCTTCTCAAGAAGCAAACTTCCATAAACCTGCGGACGCTGTTGTACCATTCCGACAATCCTTCTCCACTGGCCCTATGGATCATAGTGTCCCCAATCCTAGTTCTCCAAATCTTAGTTAGATGAAATAGATTATGGTGGTTCATAAGCCTTTTAAACCCAATATGACATGTGGAGGGTTTGATGCATGTCAAGGTACACAATGTGTCACCAACTTTGGCCCCACGTCCAACCCCAATTGGCATGTAACCTGTCTAATCACCCTGTCAACTCAACCTTTAATGCAATTCTTAATTGCACACTTTCGTGCTGGCCAATCATGATCTTCCAACTGTCAAGGAGCCTCTTTCCCTACCCTAGCCACTCATCATGGTTGTAAACTTGACACCGCAAGAAACTTTTAGGACAGATACTCCTTTCATCACCTCTTCACCTCTTCACCTCTGTTATCTTTACATAGAATGCCACCTATTTTTTGTTCCCTAAGGAGCTCAGGGTCACCCTTTGCTGCCAGCTCCTTTGCCATCCCCTGTATCCTCTTCCTCTCCTAGAGACACATCAACCTCGAGCTTGAAGTGTCAAGGATGAAAGCTGTAATGTGGTAGCTGTATTTAAGACCTCGATTTCTGAGGAGCTTGCCTCCTTTCACCATCTTGTCCCATCATCACCATTGGAAAGCATGGTTCTTGGTGGGCAGGTGTCACCCGCCTATGACCCCATTCCATCCACTAAGGAAACGTTATTTTCTCCGTCCACATCCTTTGCCTCCTGTCCTCTAGGACTGCACATCCCCCTCAACACACTTAAAGTTCTCGATATCGATAGGATCCTCACCCATGTTTAACGGAGCTCTTTCCTCTTGGAGCACATGATCTTGTAGTGAAAAGGGTTGGGGCTCCAAACTAATTGTTCCTATTCGATTCGCAATTCCCTTTCTTTAACAGAGCTTTTTGCTTTATCTGTGATGATCTAAACTACATTTTATTGATGACTTAAACTACATTTTCTTCCCTAATCTCTTCCATTATTTTATCGAACCGTTTAAACAAAAGCTTTGCGGCCTCTTTTTGTGGAAGCTTTGACGTGCAAGGCAATTCCTCTTGGGCAATAACCAAGAAATTCACAATTTGCCTGCTTGACCCATCCATCCAAGCATCAAACATAATTGTGACTCTAGTCTTATGTCACATTCGCTTGTAATCATCGAGGGATAAATCTAACCTCATTCACCTTCTCATACAGTAAAGGCCTTACGGCCTATAAGCTTTGTAGAAGTTGGGCCCTTAAATCTGATCCACGCTTGTGCTTTAGTGGATCTCATTGATTGATAATATTCACTATTCACTGCATTGAATGGAGATGCCACTGCCATAGAACCACTTGGTAGTCCTCTTTTTGATCATCTGTGCAATACCCTTCTCCTTCCACGGGATCATGAAAGAGGTGTCAAATCGATCTTGGGTAGGCTAAGTGGGTTGAGGTTGGGTTGGGGTTGGGGGCCAGGAAGTCGTAGAGGGTGTAGGTGGTCTTCGAAAAGTAGAAGATGTGAAGAGTCCTGACAACACAATTCCCATGCCAAAAGGCATTGACCTATTACTTGAGGCTGCTACCCATCTAGCTTACATCTCATTTCTATATGGGCCTACACTCTATGCATATCTTCTACATTGGCCCTCATTGTCATCTCCATATGAGCCTGCTCTGCCTCATCTTCCTTTTAGAAGGTGCGTAATACTTACTCCATAACTCTTCCGCTATCATCTATCTTTTGCACATTTTTTTCCCCTTGCAATCTTGATATATCACTTTATTTCCTCCTTCACTTGCACAGACACACTCGGACAAGTCTACACATCAGCTCGTATGTGGTGATGTGATGTTTTAAGCTATTAATACCACTCATCATAGGCTTCCCACAAAATTATACTTCACCCACCCCTTACCCTTCTCTGGCAGCTTTACGCCAGGTGACCACACTAGATCCTCCTCACTCATCTCCTAATTTTACAAAAGGAAACTTGCTAAAGGCAACTCCCAACCAAGATATTTTGTGTACATCAAAGCACGAGAAAGAGTTGAAAATACAAAGGTATGTGTGATTCTTATTCATCAATCACAATGGCCGATTTGAAGAATGAATTTCAATATATGACAAGTTTTCACGTTCTCGAACCTTAACTGTGTCATCTACCCTTATATGAAGGCCTTCACAGATTCTCCCACAAGACATCACCACCTGAGGTCTGTTAGAGCCTAGAGAAAGAGAGGCCTTGGGCGTGAGGGTGAGAGAGGATTGGAATCTTATGGTATGCATAAAAAATCCCTACAAAAAGAGAAAAACTCTAGTGGAGGGAGAGAAACCCTAAGGAGAGGGATCTGTTTTTCTTCTCTATTCACTTGATTTTAACCATTTTAGCCATTTTATTTCCCAAGAGGTGCTTAGCAGAACTTTGCATGAGTTGTGTCATTGATCCATGGAGATCTTGTCGGGTGCACAAAATCCTTGGAGATAATCCTAGGCAGCTCTTGGGTTTACTGTTTCATGTTGTTTCTGAATTTTAGTTTTAGCATGTGCCTGGTTTGTGGAGAACGAAGCAGCAAGCATTGTCTTGGTGATTTTATTTTATTTTCTCGATGTATTTCGCTTCTATCATGATCGTGGAAAATGCACACGGCAGCACATGTAATGTGGGGTTCTAAGTATAGAGAATAACAATATAATAATTTTTTTTAGTTATACTTGGATCATCCCTCGCTAGTCGCACTGCTATCAGAGCCTTCTTTTGTTGCTGCCGTTTTTATTTTTAGATTTGTATATGTCACGCCTTCCAAGAGTTTTATCGTTGAGCTCCTTAAGATTGAAAAACTCTGATGGTTCAAACCATGTTTGGGAACTCAGCTCTGGTGTGGGACTCGGTCATTTGCTCTTTGCCGAATAACTCAAGTGAGCCGGAGTGGACTCGGCGTGTCTTGCTCGAGCATGTAATCTCCTTGAATATGGAGGGAGGAGGGACTTTCAAGACTATAGTTTATGAGCTTGAGTTTTCAAGTTGTTGATAGCCTAAAAATGTGCAACTTGTTGAACTTGCTGTCAAACTCATGGACACATTACCTGCTGCCCGTGAGACAATCTTGAAGAGCTCATTGCTACCCGTTGGTTTGAGGAGTTGAAGTACACTATTGTCCTCATAACCCTGCAATGCCGTACATAGTAAACTCTAAATCCAAGAGAAGAAAGACTGTTCTCTAATAATATTTGGGTGGCAATGGGCCCGGTGGCCCTGCCCGGTCAGCCCACCCCTCAAAGTCTAGGGCCTTGGCCACAAAATGTGTCCCAAGGTCGGGCCAGGGGTGGGCAAGCACGGCCTGAGGGTACAACGGGGCCCGGGCCAAGGTTGGCCCTATTCAGCCTAGCCCGGTCCTCTTTTTACTGTTTTATCCTTTTGTATTTTTTTTTATTGTTTTTGGCCTGGCTCGGCCCAGCCTGGCCTTGATAGGGCTAGGGCCGGGCTTGGGCCGTGACTTCTTTGGCTTGGTTATGGTTGGGCTAGGCTTGGTGCAAGCTTTATGGGAACTAGGGCCGGGCTGGCCCGGCCCCGCCACGGCCCATTGCCAGCCCTAGATATTATACGAGTGAGCCATCAGTAAACAATAAGACCTCAGCCCCCAAATCCTTAAAGAGAGATTATCACAAAAGCATAGAATGTTTTGAGTGTGAGAAGGAGAGGTCGGGAATAATTAGCATTGCATATATACGTTTCGAGTCCATGATGACTGCCCCCAAGGACCCATTTTTGTGGTTTGACTTATTACCCATTGCCCACATGTGAATGGAGAGATTAGTGAGAGACTTGCTTTTGGAAAATATATGTATTATATTATTAAGCTAGAGTTAAGGGGTTGACATGTGTTGCAAGAATAAAAAGGGACTATATCCCTAAAGATGAT